ACACACACACACATACACACACACATATATACATACACACACACACACACACACACACACACACACACACACACACACACACACGTTTTCTATATATGCCATTTACAGCCCTATCTCTCTTGCAATGAAAAGTGGGGGTAAAGAGTGTAATGGAAACTACTTCATAAGGTCTCCCTCAAGCTTTTCTCTCTCAAAGGATTTTAATGATACTCTTGTCCTCCACCTTGAATTCAAAGTATTTTTCCCATAGGAGAGCATTGCCCTGCGTCCATTGCCCTTCAACTCCACTCATCCACACGGGGAAAAGATGAGGAAAAAGGGAAACTGCTGGAAAAACCCTCGCGCAGTGCGCGCTCTTCTCTAGTTTCCGCATGCATTTCCCACCGATTTGACTCTCTTGCCCGCGCTTCCCTTCTTTCTTTTCCGCTCCTTCCTTCTCGGTTTCCCTGCAAGGTTAACCCTGCGCCTCCATCCGAGCCTGAAGTAGCGGCACCCGGCATGGAATCGATCGACGAACTGGCTGTCGGACCTTGCGTGGCCTCCCAATATTTGCGGCCTTTCCGCCTCCGATACCGCCAGGTAAGCAGGAAAGGTGAGAAGGCCGCGGAAGGAGCCGCTGCCTTCTCTTCAGGAACGCCCATCTTAAGCCACTTTCGCCGAAGCGCTTAGGCTACGCTCTCTATGCAAAGCCGCTGCTGGGAAAGGCCTACTCCCGGCTCTCCCGCAGGGCACTTAGGGAGGCGGTGGGAGGGTTAAAGGAGGATTTCCTATCCTCGGAAGAGTCGCTGTTACTGGATTGGGGGTGGGGGGGCGGGGGAGGATCGGCGGGGATTTAGGGCCCAGGAAGGGACCCGCCAGGCCGGTAGAGTAGCTTGTAGATACCGAGCCAGAAGCAGCTTTTTCTTCATAGGGTTGCCCTTTATTCCCCAGGTAGGAAAACTCCTGATATCTAGGATCGAGCGTTTCCAAATGTAGGCAGAATTTTTAGTCCCTCCCACAAGAAGAAAAGTGTATTATTACCTCTTTTTTTTTTTTGCAATGACTGCCCTTGAACACAGGCGCGGGAACACCACCACCGCTTTTTTTTTCTGGCCTTAGTCGGTTTGCTGCGTGTCCTTTCGCTTGAGCATGCTTCAGGTTTTTTTAATGTTTAAAATGTGCAAATTCAGGAATAAGGAAATAACTTCTGGTCCTCTAGATGTTTGAGGGATGGCTTGAGATCAGAAAGAGAGTAGGGACTTTTCTACTGCTCCACTCTACAAATTTAGCTGTTTCTGCACTTTATCTATAAATATAATATTTATTATATAATAAATATAATGTATTTATCTCCCACCACACTGTCATATTACCAAGACTGTGTTACTATTATTATTCTTATACTTATCTCTTCCCACTTATGACTATAACCATGTTGCTTGAATCTTTAAATTTTGTTTCATTTATTTCCTAGTATAATTCGATTGCGTATTAGTAACCTATGACTATCACTAAGTGTTGTATCTTATGATTCTTGATGAATGTATTCTATTTTATTTTTCTTTATGTACACTGAGAGCATATCCACCAAAGACAAATTCCTTGTGTGTCCAATCACACTTGGCCAATATAGAATTCTATTTTATCTACTGCAGAATTTATACCCACATGCTCCTAGTCTCTGCATTGGGCAATACAACTAGCATATACACATTGCCAAAAGTAGCCGCTCACCCATCCACATAATCAGATTCAGTTGTGAACGAATACTTTTGGCAATATAGTGTATGTATGTATGGGGAGTATGAACCAGAATTTATCTCCCTATCTTCTGATATACTTTTCCAACAATTGTTTCAAAAAATACAATGCTGATTGGGACAATAGAATTCTGACTGGAATTCTCTGCATTAATTCCAAGATCATATTAAAATGGTTAAAACTCACCTATTCCCCATTTTCATACTGTCCTGAATAATCCTGCTAGGTTAATAATAATAATGGTACATATAAAACAGCTTGGTATGGTTATAATGACAGCAGAGTTGCAAAATGGCTACCATTTTAAGACCCGAGTTGACAGTTATATAAACATATTGAAAGAATGAAAAATTATCAATGCTTTATCAAATAGGGGACAAGATTCTCAGTGAATAATAGGATAGTAAAATATGCAATTGATTAGAATCACATAGTACATTAAGTTATGAATAATATTTTATAAAAAAGTTGATTTCATAGAACATTGAGTTATGGCTTAGTGTGTTTTCTGAACCCAACCAATTTTAGTTAACTCAGCAAACCATTTATAACACAGACAGTTTTTGACTCAATTAATAGATCACGCTAAGTCAATTTAAATATAACCAACATTGCTTTATGAACAACGAAATGGCTCAAGCCTTATATTAAAATTTATTTGGTTTTGGTTAATTACGTTTGTCAAATTATCTGATTGTAGTTAACTTAATATGTTACTATTGAACCAAGCATGAATTAGTGCAATGTACAAACTCTGTCCACATGCTCAACTATTAAGTTGTAAGATTAATTCTTAGCCTCCCTTTAAATAGCAAGGCTAGGAAAGATTCTGTTCGATCTGTCAAATTATTGTTACAAGAAAACAATTTGAATAGATAAATGGTTTAAAGCTCCTTTATAGATAATGATACTCTGAATTAATATTTGAATCTTTTAAATATATAAAATTCAATATTGTGCTTTTTGAGAATATCAAATATTTATTACCTTTATGAACATATTGATTCTATTATAAATACAATGCATATGAATATCCCCATTGAAAGATTCCTTGAGAAAGGAAATAAACAATTCTACCAGGGCTCTAAATGGAATCATTTCTTTTAGAAGCATATAGTAACTTTTTTTTTTACATGAATAGTTTCACCTGGATAAATTCTGCCTTATTGTACTAATTATATATTACTATATATAACATATATACTATTATATATTGAAATATCTGTAATTCTGGAAAATATTCTGGGTACATTTAATATTTCTTGATAGATTTTCATAACATCTTTGCTTATTAGTAAAATCAAATATTGAGAATGAAATGGTATTTGTGTACTTTTATTATGATTACAGCTAGGAGTATTGCTAAATATCTTAGATGAATAATTCTAAATGCAGACTTCAGTAGTTTCTTGCATAAATATATGCTATTAAGAATATAAAAAGAGCAGAAAGTTTGAGTTCTTATACAGAGAATGATAAAATTCATAATAGTTGGAATTCTGTTTAATTGCACATCAGTAATCAAGGACGAGGCTCTCCAAATCATACTTTAGTTTTGTATAAGAGAGAAGACTCTTATTCAGCAATGGAAAAACAAGGTGCCAGAAGAATCAGGAATACACAGCTACTCAGTTTTCTTTTTAAGTTTACTCTTTCCTGACCAGATATACCTGGGAAAGGACCTTGATAGCATCACTTTCTTGACTTGGAGTTGAGGTAGAAAGCAAGAATGTATGTGTGTATGAATGTGCCTTCAAGTCAGGTTTAATTCCCTATGACTGTCTGGACTAGTTCCTGTAATTTTGGCAAGATTTTTGGAGGTGATTTCCCACTGTCCTCTTCTTATGTCTGAGAGAAGATGACTGGTCTGAAGTCACCTAGTTGGCTCCATGCCTAAGCATGCCTGGAACTCACAGTCTCTTAGTTTCTAGCCTGTTGCCTAATCATGACATCAAATTGGTTCTCATATAGTAGGATATCATCAGCATATTGATAATACTTGATCAACAGATTACTCACCAAGCAGCTTCATGTAAATGTTGATCAGGAAGACTGGGACAGTTGAGCCTTGAGGCATCATGTAAGTCATACACAAACCAACTGGAACCAGTCACAGAGAAAAGAGGAAAACCACTGAAACATTGTATCTCCAGTTCTAATCCCTGTAGTCTGGCCAGGAGGTTACCATGATTGATGATAAAGTTCCTGAAAAATAAAGAATGAGAAATTGAACCATCTGGTTGTACCAATACCATTCCAGCACCATCAAAGATAATTGAAAACCATTATTAATGATGTTGCCAACGCTGGGTCCAGAAATGGCTGTTTGGGAAGGAGGTGTACAACTGTCTTCTTCGAGATAGGCAAAAATGTTCCCTTTTTTGCCACCTCACAGGCCAAACCACACTTCACCTTCCAGGAAGTCCTAACTAATCAAGCTGGATCTTAGAAGCAGGTAGCTGAGTCAGGAGTCCCAAGGATCCTATCCACTTCCTTGGGAACTACAGGATCAACCATTTGGCAGATACAGGACAAAATCCATATAAATGTATCCTGTCTGAATCTAATTTTGAGTGGATCTAAAGAATTTTATCCAATAAATGTCATGATAGTCCTCACAGCAGGCCTGAATATGTGAACCCTTCCTTCTCACTAAATACCAGGTTACCTTGAACACATGCATTGGCCATTATCTGGGGACCATCTGTTTGTCATAGTGCTGCTAAGATACAGAAGATCAATAAATGTTACTTCTAAATTATAGAGCAAATATCCACTGTATACTCTCCTGTCTTTCTGATATATAGTTATAGTAAACTTAGCTGCTTATTTATGTTTATTATTCTCACCTTATGCTTTCTTGAAGAAGCTTGCTAATAAACTTCATTTTAAAACTGCGTATGAGAAAGAACATGCTACGTATAAGGAGATATGCATGTGAACATAGTTTTCTTTGCCCTTTTTTAGTTAAAAAGGCTTCCTCTTTCTTTTCTCATGCATTTACTTTCTTTAATCGTGTCCCTTTACACATTGACCAGAATTTCATTAATGTATTAACAGCCAAGTTTAAACAAACTTTAAAAGTTTAGTTTTCTTCAGCCGTCTACTTAATAGCACACTAAAGTCATGAGCTCTGATCAAATCAACATTAATTATTTGCTTCAAGTTTTTCTTGCTGGATCAGAATCCTCTGAACATTTTGTATGAAGCCTGGGAGAGAGCAGCTGGCCTGGACATGGGTTGATGCCCCAGTTGACAGATTGTTGGATTAGAAAGAATATCAAAGGCAGCAGGCAAGATTAGGGATAAGTGAACTTCTAACAGCAGTTTCCAGGAGAAGAGAACAGATGATAAACAATGGGAATGGGGTACTTAAGGGTTAGATGAGAGGTGAGAAGGCCATGGGAAAAGTGTGGCAGTAATCACTAAAGCTCCAGGTTGCTGCACCTCATGAATAGAATAGGAAATGGGATTTGCAGGGACAGATGTGATGAGCGATGATGAATACATTAAAGGCAAAACTTTTCAAGGTGAGTGTTCTTTCATTAAACTGCTCAATATAATTATGGGAATGTCTTTGCCTTACAGAAGGCACTGTTTGTGATACACATATAAAGTAAGAAATACTCACTGAGTTAAGAAATTATATTTTTAAAACATGTTAAAGAGTATTTTATCGGATAAGAGAATAAAAAATAGGGGCAATTTATTTTTTATTGTAAGCAGTGCTTACATAAAGATTTCTTATCAAATATCATGCTTTCAGTTCTATGTTCATTGCTCATTTTTCTGAGGGTTAGCTCTGAAACGAAAATTGCAAAAGTGCTGCCCTTACAGAGTTCTCTTTTTTGTCAGATTGGGTATATGGATTTTTTTTTTATTTACAAAATAAACATGGAATGGGCTTTGCAAGTATACAAAAGTTATGTCAAAAGGAAAAGTGAGTGAAAGCATCTTACCTCACCTCGGTATAATAAGCTGTCTTGTCAATCCTCTGCTTTTAGCTACTGCATGTATTATGCAACCTATTTAATTCATTAAGATACAGAATTTCAAAACATAGCTATGTTTTGCAGGCAAAATTCTTATGGGTAGTAGTAAGAGACAGCCAATTTGATTTAGTGGTTGAGGCACCAGGCTAGAAAACAGCAAACCATGAGTTCAAGTACCGCCTTAACCATGAAAGCCAGCTTGCTGACTTTGGGACAGTTACTCTTTCTCAACTTAACCCACCTCACAAGATGGTTGTTATGGGAAAAAAGAAGGAATAAGATGCATTGCATATGTCCACTATCTTGAGTTATAATAAAATTATAAAGGCGGGATACAAACAAACAAATAAATCCTTTGGATTCTGCAGCTTTAACTTAAATTCAAACAAACAAATTTTATCATAATCATATTGGAAGCAATTTTAAAAATATGCTAGGAGGATTTTTTATTCTTAAAACAATTCTGAGTTAAAATGCTTTGTTGCTATTTTATTAATATATTTCATATTATAAACATTTTTGAAAGTATGGTCATGCAATAAATTAAATAAATACCAGTCTCTTGAATGTTAGTGAAATTGGCACTGTTTCTTTGCCCATTTTCTGAAATGGGCATTTTCTGACATGGGTATTTTAAATGTATGGTACTGCCATTCATAATATCGGACTTCAGGATAACATAAAGCATAAGGCAATTTCAGAAATTGTGGTCACTGAAATGTAGTGATACATTCAGAGAGGATTCTGGGGCCTAATGGGTTTGGCAATTAAAATTCCCCTGATTTTATCTTAAAAATACACATTAGGTTTGTGAGCTCTTGGGAGTTCACAAACCTAATATCAGTACCTATAAATGCTTTAAAAAATTAATTATAGATTTCCATAGTACTCACCTCAATTATTTAAATTACTTTTTTTTAAAAAAGAGTGTGAACACCAGGTTTATTTATTAGAGTTCACTTCTCACTCAAATATTTTTAAATCTTTCATTAAGTATCATCTAGGTATTTTAAAAAATATATGATTATTCATAGATCAGATCCTTAGATGGTCTCTGAGGTTAAAAAGTTTATGACGCTGAAGCCAGGCAGAATAGTGCAAGAAGGAAAGACTGAATTTCTATATGCTGGATTGCGTTTGATAAAATGAACAAGCATAGCATCTAAATAACTTTTCAATTTAGGTTGCTGTTTTAAGTACTCTGCAGAATTTATAAGGACATTACATTTGACATTACATTTACATTCCATTCCATCCCATAACTCTCCCATAATTGGAGAGTTTTTGCTCTCCAATTAGGTTATCCATTGCTTTATTTGCCATCATTGTGGGAGGTAATGACACTCTCAGTTCTCTGTCATTGCCCTATGGTTATGGAATAGTCTACCAGGAAAGTCTGCCACAGCATGCTCTTGGCCTGCATTCAGGAAGATTTGCAAAGCTCAGCTTTAGAGGAAGTTGTTGAATAATATTACTAAATAATGTTTCTATCATTTTGTGTTTTGCTCTGTTTATTTGTTTTAAAAGGCAGTTTTAGGAATGTGCTTATCCTATGACATCTGCAACACAAAATTATATTTGCAATTCTCCCTTGTAATTATCTCTGTAATTAAACATTTTAAAGTAGTTTATCTCTCCCAGAATCCAAGTACCAGCATTTGTTTACTATATATACAGTCGTGTGAAAAAGTAAATACACCCCATTGAATTATTTAATTTCTTCATCATATTCCAACATACAATATCTGAGCTTCTTTCAACAATATTGATAGATAAACGGGATATAATATAACAAATATCATATACAAGTTACACGTACATTGTGCAATTTTAATATTGTAAGCCTCTCAGAGTTACCATGTGGTAAGATGTATACCTAATAAATTTTACAAATAAATAACATTTAAATAACCACAAATGTCACTTTCATATTTTGAAAATTGTACACCTCTACATTTAGCAATACTTCAAATATCTACAATTAGATATTTGTACCAGATCAGATAAAAATGATTAAAACATTTTAGAAGGGAAGAACCTATTTTATTTAAATCTCAGACATTTAGTTTGGTTTATTCTAGTGTGTGCTATCACCATGCCTAGTCAAAAGAGCTCTCAGAGGCCTTCATTAAAAAGGTTATAGATGACTATGAGTCTGGAATCCCTTTCCCTTGCCTCTCAAGGTCATTCCCACATACCATTTTAGTTCTGTACAGGCAAGGCAAAAGGATAGTTAGCAATAGCAATAGCAGTTAGACTTATATACCGCTTCATAGGGCTTTCAGCCCTCTCTAAGCGGTTTACAGAGTCAGCATATTGCCCCCAACAACAATCCGGGTCCTCATTTTACCCACCTCGGAAGGATGGAAGGCTGAGTCAACCCTGAGCCGGTGAGATTTGAACAGCCGAACTGCAGAACTGCAGTCAGCTGAAGTAGCTGAAGTAGCCTGCAGTACTGCATTTAACCACTGCGGCCCCTCGGTTATTTGGCACAGTATCCAAATATAGGTTTGGTGTAAACCAAAGACTGCATTGAACCAGAAGAACCAACTATAAAGCATGGTGGTGGAAATGATATGGTTTGGAGCTGCTTTGCTGCATCAAGGCTTTGGAAGCTCATCACATAGAATCCATTATAAATTCTTCATTGTACCAGAGGATGCTAGAGGATAATGTGAGAGCATCTCTTGAAGACTGAACCCCAACCAAAAATGGACCTTGCAACTTGACAGTGACTCTAAACATTCCAGTAAATCCACCAAGGTTTAGCTGAAAAAAGATAAAGAGTTCTGAAATAGCAAAGTCAAAGCTTAGGTCTAAATCACATCAAAATGCTATGAAGTAATTTGAAATAGGCTATATATGCAAACAAAACAAAAACCCTCAAACATCACAAAGCTGAAAAACTTCTGCAGGGAGGAGTGGTAAAAGATTCCTCCCAGTCAATGTTGAGACTGGTAGAAGAAATCCCTATTTGAGGTTGTTTCTGATAATGGGCAATTCTATTATTAGAAATATTAGAGCCAATGTACTTACTTTTTCCACAGAAGTAAGTTGTTATTAGTCACTAAGTTGTGTCCGACCCATCGCGACCCCATTGACAATGTTCCCCCAGGCCTTCCTGTCCTCTACCATCCCCCGGAGTCCATTTAATCTCACATCGACTGCTTCAGTGACTCCATCCAGCTACCTCATTCTCTATCATCCCATTCTTATTTTGCCCTCAATCTTTCCCAGTATTAGGCTCTTCTCCAGTGAGTCCTTCCTTCTCATTAGGTGACCAAAGTATTTAAGTTTCATCTTCAGGATCTGGCCTTCTAAAGAGCAGTCGAACTGACAGGTTTGATTGCCTTGCAATTCAAGGGACTTGCAGGAGTCTTCTCCAGCACCATAGTTCAAAGGCCTCAATTCTTCAGCGCTCAGCCTTCCTTATGGTCTAACTTTCATAGCCATACATTGCAACTAGGAAAACCATAGTCTTGACCATGTGCACTTTTGTTGGCAGGGTGATGTCTCTGCTTTTTAGTATGCTGTCTAGGTTTGCCATAGCTTTCCTCCCCAGGAGCAAGTGTCTTAATTTCTTGGCTGCAGTTCCCATCTGTGGTGTTCTTGGAGCCCAGGAAAATAAAACTTACTTCAAGAAGTAAGTAGAAGTACTCAAAGTTGGAAGAAAGAAAGCTTAAAATCTGAAAGTTTCAACTTATCTACCTTACAGAGTCTTATTTTACAAAAATGTAACAAGCCTCAAATAATACAGATCATTAATTGTTATTTTAGATACCCAATCATAAAAATTGAAATCGGAACTGATGGCTTTGCTGGACCAAAATCCTTAATATTAAACAGTTCAAAATTTCAAAACAAGTTATGACCAAGTATGAATTTCAGTCCCTTTTTTATTAATTAAGATAAAATGTGCAGTTTCACTTCTTTGTCCAAGATCATTATAAATGTGATAAAGTCCTCACTGGTCAAAGATATTTTATAGAAATTTTAAAGAATGTATTTTTCTTCTCTTTTATGTAATTTGTTGCTTTGTCAAAAAACTAGACACATTCTGCTGGATATATTTTTAAAATTAAACTGAAATAATGGAGGAAACAGAGATGCATATGATATAGATATTTTCTTTTTTGTATGTTCTATGTTTTTTCAAAAAGCATATTTTTAAAAATCTGAAGGTGCTAGTATTTATTCTGTTTTCCATTGATTTTGGTAGATTGGTAAGAATTGTGAAGATCTTTGTCATTTTTGTTGGAAGGATCTGTGAGAAACTCTTTAGAAAAAAAATCTAATGATTGTTTCTAAGCCTTGCTTTCCATTAACCCCCCACAGCTGTCCTTCAACAAGTTTTTTTAATGGCTTTTGAAGTAAGTGAGCGGAAAATGGCTTCTGTGGAACTTTGGAGGCTGAGATGCAAACTGCCTTTGCTTTTTATCAGTGGGAGGATGGCTTGTTAAAAAGCTTTTGTGATTCTAATTTTAAAGATGGAAAGCACATTAGATAAAACTACCAAAGTTAAAATAATTCTTTCAGTT